TAGTCCCTGCATGACTACTTTACATCATATATGATTCTTTTTTTATTGAAATAGTTTTGCATCTTCTCATTGTTATCAGTAATGCACTTAATGGTGTGTTGTGTTTATAGTTTATGTTGTTTATTTATTGCATTATATTAGTGTCATGTGTGATATCCTGGTGGTGTTTTGCCTTTGTGTGTATGACCCTGTGCGCAGTCTATACATGATTCCTGGCAATGTTTTATGAACCGGCTGCTTATGATGAACTCTGATTCATCATGTGGTTTTCTATTGTACTACCTTATTATTATTATTATTATTATTATTATTATTATGGTGATTATCAGTATTTTAAGGTAAAAAGATGATTTCTGTAGTTCAAGTGGCTTGGTTTATTACTTTATTTCACTTAATGAAATATACTGTTATAAGTTGTGAAAAAAAATTCAAGGCACCAATACGGCATTCTATAACACTGGAAAACTTGTTACAGTGAATTTCTTGCAATTACAACTGCTGTTTTTATTAAACATGCCATTTAACTGGATCTTTTCACAGGGGTGAGCTGTATGTTATAGGTAAATGTAGATTTAGATTGACCTCATCTCAAATTCAGTTCTCAAAACTGCAATGGTACTCTTGTGAATTGTATTTTTGTATGCACTCCCCATCTCCAAGCAAAAGCACAGTATAGCTTTTATTTATACCATTTAAAACAAGGAAAATATGTTGGATCTGTGGCCTAGCAGTTAGCGACACTTGTTAAGCTGTTGTGCTCAAATGGGAGTTTGAGTCTAGTCGACCCCAGGATTTCCTGTCTGTGCAAATAAAAAAGACTAAAATTTAAAACCCACACACACATTACATTACACATCACCCATAAGTATGTGTTTCTCCATTACATCAGCTCCCAATGACTGGAAATTAAGACACACTGGGTATCTTACAGCCAGTTTCCCAGATATGATTGTATAATAGTTTTAGTCTAATCTACTAAATGTGTTGTGAGTAGCCAATTATCCAATTGCATGGATGAGGACACAGTTTTATCATTGTTTACAACAATGAAATTACAAAAAAGCTTTGCCAAATAAATTAAAGAGATTAACATATTAGGACCTCTAATTGCATTTAAATGACATGCATAATGTATAAATGTTCGCCAAAGATGGAGAGCTGAATTCTTGATGAAGTTTCCCAAACGTTTAGCTACACAAATGCTCCCCAATTCATTCTGCTGGGTCTGTTTCTCGAGTCCATGCGCTATTTGTTAAGGAATTATCGATTTGCATTTAATTAAGCTCACTTACTTGCTCGCTGCTGACACAAGATTGATCAAAGCAGTCAATAACAGCATATTAAAGAAATGACTTTGAGACTTTGATTTTTTCTCCATCTTTATGAATGCATAGAACAAACAATCTGTCTTGAAATATGCAATTCAATATTTCTCAGTGTCACACCACCCATCTAGGTGCTGCAGGCATGTTACATTCACCTGGGTAAAGTACAATCGCCAAGCTCATAATGGAAAACGGAGAAGGGTTAGCAACATATCCTTACATAGATGATATGAGAGTAAAGACCTCAGGCACCATTGAATTCACATTTGAAAAACCATTTCTAGCCAGTTGACTTTTCATTTCATTTGGCCATAGATTAGCCCTCAATGAAGGGCACTGATTGGGAACTCAGCCTGCCATGCTGAATTCACTGAAAAGTATACATTTTCAACCACTACCCTCCAACATTTCATAAAAGGCATTTGTATTTACAAATCAATAATCCATTATCTCTGTATTAATTCAAGACATTGACACGAGCACGACTATATTGTAACTGCCGCGTGTGGGAATTTTGTCTTCGAACAGGAATACCATCATTTTGTCCTATTCCAGTTCCTGTTTCATACCTGAATCGTATCATGTTGTGTTTTTATGGATCTAAAATGTCTTAAAGGGCTTTTCAGCCTTTTCCCATTGCTACGTGATGGAGAGCCACTCAGTTTAACAGCATAATAATGTAATATCATGAGGGATAAATTTCTTATTTGAAATGAAGCATCACGGTGAATACTCTATATTTCTTACCGGCTTCAATTGGTTTCCCCCAGAGGACACAAACTTCATTATGAGCTCTTTCTCTCCCTCTGTGGGGGTATCAATACTTTATACCATCATTTACTCTCTCTTGCTGCTGTTTAAACAGTGCTGTTCCTCTATTCTATTTCTGCTGTTTGTAATCACAACATAGATGTGGATTCGCTACAGGACATCAGGAGATCAGAAACGGGGGTTTGGTGTTGCTCTTTTCCGTGGGATCCCCTAAGCACCCCCTCCTCATTATTGTGTGTGACTATCATATTGCAAAAGGAGAAGATAAAGAAGTATATATTTTTTTTCTTGGTGAAAAAAAATTTGTGAAAAGCTCATTAAAGCAGCCCAAGAACAAACAAAGCTTCTCCTCTGAGGCCCCCATTCAGAGTCATCCCATAATTTCCCACTAGTTTTAATAGTTGAGATAAATTAATTATTCCTTCGTGGAAAATACATTCTTTGCCATCTTTGGCTCATTGTTCTTGTTGGAGAGAATTGAGCCCAATCCTGTGAGAAATAGAGTTGTCTTTCCTGCAGGGAAATCAAACTGCTCGCTGCAATCAGCCAGGACCAACGACAATTAAACCATTAGTATCTGGTATAGGAGACTCTTTACACAATGTACATCTTACTAATGAATCCAGAGGCAACTCATAATTGCACAGTTTTGTCTCGTAAAGATTAGCTGCCCACTGAAACTCAGTAGAACATCACATAACGTTTCAATTCCTGCTGCTGGGACGTTGAATGAAGACAGTTCTCAGATTGACAAATGGAAATCAATTAAAAACTATTATAAAGATATCATTTAAAAAAAAAAAAAGGGAAAGTGCAGATCGGTCATTTTTCTTTTATTAAATGTGTTCATGACTTCATGGAAAACAATAACACATAAGAAGGCATTGCCTTTACACAATGCAAATTACTGTGCATTTGTTGGTAAATATTAAAGAAATTCAGTCTTGCTGAGATAGCTGTTGGGTGGTTTCAGGTTCTTTAATTGTAAAATGTGACCCTGGACCACAAAACCAGTCTTAAGTCGCTGGGGTTAATTTGTAGCAATAGCCAAAAATACACTGTATGGGTCAAAATTATTGATTTTTCTTTTATGCCAAAAATCATTAGAATATTAAGTAAATATCATGTTCCATGAAGATTTTTTGTAAATTTCCTACTGTAAATATATTAAAACTTAATTTGTGATTAGTAATATGCATTGCTAAGAACTTCACTTGGACAACTTTAATGGTGATTTTCTCAATATTTAGATTTTTTTTGCACCCTCAGATTCCAGATTTTCACATTTTCAAGTCGTATCTCGGCCAAATATTGTCCTATCCTAACAAACCATACATCAGTGGAAAGCTTATTTATGACTGGTTTTGTGGTCCAGGGTCACAAATGACAAACATTTAATCACTTCTTTGCAGGAACGTGAGCTATATGCAGTCCCGGATGAGCAACTGCCTTAACAAACAATTAATCTCTGGGTATCTGTGAAACAGCCATTTCTGTTATATGCCTTAGTTGAAAGGATTTTTAATGGCAAGTCTGTGAATGTTGGTGTATTCAGGCAAACTGTTGTAAACAGATTATCTCTTTTGCGTTTTCAAATTTTGAGACATATTGAGGAGCCTTATCAGTCAGTTAAATTAATGAAAATATTGTAGATCATTTTCAGAATTGATTCTGGTTATGCGCATCAAGAAAATCTATTAGTTGTACCAACAAAATCTATTATTGTAGTTCTTCTTTCTACCAGTGGATGGCGCCACTGTAATAAGGAACGTAAGCGTGACTTGTCTGATGGCATACTGAATTTTAACCTTGTACATGAAACCAAATGGACTTTTGTAGTGTAGTTTATAGTTGGTGCACTGTAGTCGGTATAGTTTATGCCCCATAGTAAGTATGGTGCACCATTGTTTTTCTTTTCATTTTTCTTTTTATACTTTGGAATGGTTAGAAATGGCAACATATCCTCTCATTATATGAGAAGAATCATAATCTGCCTATGCAGGGGAAATATTTTCAGAGAATACTGAATGCTGCTTGCCTGTAATACTCGCAGGTTGTACCATTTCCATATATCAATAATTCTGTGTACCACTTTTTTTTTTTAATCGATATTTGCCCCTATACACAGCCTTGTTTTTTCCGACTTCTGCTGTTATGATAACAAAAACTGCAAGCATGTTTTAAAACTTTTATGAACAAAACCAAGGGCTGTCAGTACATTAAAAATAATTATTCATATTTAATCTCAAGATTTCCCTGAAATATGAAACAACAAAATATGTAAGTAACAAATCTGTTTTGTAGATACTAGAGAAGTTCTCCAGATGCAGAATTGGTTTCTACAGACATTCTTCATAATTTAAACTACTCTGCTCAAATAGCTAACAGTTTAAAGTAAACAAAATCTGAGTATGTACTGTGACCCAAAACCTATGCATTTATCAAATCAAACATTGTCAATTGTCAGCATAACTACAATTATAAGATTGTCTACTTTTTTGCCATGGTTGTAGTAGGGTGATATGAAAAGTTCTTGCTTTTTCTCCGACATAAGAAATACATATATTTCTAGCAGATTTTGCATTTTATTTGTGTTATCATTTTACTATAACAATTTCGTTGTAGTAATTGTAAGGCATTCTGTGGTCCCTTGAAAGTTTACCGAGGCCCCCTAGTGGGTCCCGGCCCTCCCGGTTGAGAACCACTGCTCTATCCAACCTCAAAAAGCAGAAAGAGCCCACTCAACCGCAATCTTTCCTCCTTTGAACAGTGTGTTTCTAAGTCAACCTCCTCGTCTTCTGATTGGCTGGATTTGTCATTCCGTTGAATGGGGTGCGTTGTGATTGGCTGCAGTCTGATTGACGTCATCATGTGAGAGGAGGTTTACTCTGGGATTTTTTTCTGTCACTGACACATGTAGAGCACAAGCGACAAGCCGCGGAGAGACATCAACGCGAGAGGACAGTTCCAAACAGTTCTCGCTTCATCTATGGACATTACGGAAGATATTCCCGAACGCTCGTTTAACAAAACCGCAACCGATCTTTCCAGTGATAACCAGAACATCCGAAAAGGTGGAACAGTGGAAATACAATCTGAAAACCCCATTTGCTTGACTCTTTCGCAGCACTGAAGTATTGTTGAGTTTGTTGGACTGTGCACGTTCTTTTTATTGTCTACCGAGAAAACAGACTGCTGTACATTTCTCACCAACCATTCAGCCATTGCATTTCAAATAGGTGAGTACATTTCCCAACATCACTTTTTATTTTATGAATAATAATTTCATGTCGCGAGAGGGAGGCACATTTTGTGACGTAGCGTCACAATGTTCCAGATTAGTATGTAAGCATAAAAAATGTCAATTAATTATTTAGAAGTGTTCGTTGTATTTTATTTGTGTTGCATGTCACGAATAACGTAATAACTAGAGCTTGTAATGTAGTGTATTGGACATGAGCGTTGCGCTTACTCGCATCAAGACCACACATAGACTTACATGTACATTTGCGGGCGTGCTGTACAGATGATCAACAAACCATAACATAAGCGCAATTCTGTATCTTTTGCAGTGGCTTGTGCATTGTAGTAGTAGGAGGAGCTGCAGCAGATGTATTTAGGCTCTAGTACTCTGCGATCTGTATTTCTGGCCATGGGCTGCTGATCTGTTTTATATTTCTGCACATCCCCTCGCTTAAATTGCCTGTCCGTGTAATTACTTGAGTCTGCCCATTTGACTTAAAAGCCCCCCCATCTTCAAATCTCCCCTCTTCCCTCTTACTGGGAATGAAACTTGACGATGGTCCGATCTTATTTATCTGGGGGAGTCACTTTCGGTCTCTGATTCATCTCCCTTTAGATTTAATCAGCACTAAGGTATTGCTTGTCCCTAAGAGCCTCCACTAATGGGGTTACTGAATGCCCCCCTCTCTCTCTCTCTCTCTCTCTCTGTCTCAGTGCAATGTTTTCTACCCTCTCTCTTCTCCTCTAATTACCTTTCAACAAAGATTTGGCTTACAGCCTTCCACAAATATATCTTACATTTTAATCTTTCCCACTTCGGTCCAGTAGTCCTCCTCATGAAACCTGGGAAAGATTAAAATTTCATATGTATTAGTGGAAGGATGGAGCAGAAGTGCACGCATGCGATACTGATAAATCAACCGACCAAAGTACAGAACTGCAACCATAAATGAGGGTTTGTGGTTAATGTGATTTCTGACAGAGGTAGATATTTCTGTGGGCCGGCATTAACTGATTCTTGCATATGCTGAATGATCCAGCATACGGGGGGTAATTTCACGCGGCAGTGACCAGTCCCCAAACTGAATGTTCTTCATGATGTTGGCTGGAAATCCGTCATCTGATAACCTCAGTGAAAGCGAGTGGAATATGTCGACCTCTGAATGGTTCATACAACTTCAAGGTTCCCCAATTAACTGCTCCACTTCTGGCCGCAGTAGCACTTCGGTTTTCTCTTCGCTCTTTCTCATGTTAAACATCATGAAGGTTGAGGTAAATGTGGTTTAAAAACAATGTAGACAACCTAACAAAAGCCAGCACCTCTTTAATTGTTCCAGCGACTCTAATGTTATCAGCAAACAGACATTTATCGCAAATGAACCAAAGGAGCTGACTTCAGCACTTAGATAAAGATCAAGGACAGTCTGCCACTTAAAACAATTCTTAGACTTGCTTGCTGGCATTATATGCATTTCAATGAGTTCAAAAGAGCTTTTAGGAAGCGTGCCTCTGAAAACATGAAATGTTTTGGGTCACTGTTCAGGCTCCAGGTGTTTTAGATATTGCAATGACAAAACTTCTGTCAGAAGTTCAGGAAACTTAAGTGTGCTGACTTTGTTAGATATGGATTAGTTTGCAGAAATGTTTTGAGCAAAAAAACTAGCAAATGTTAAAAAGAAATGGTCCTTTATTATTTTCATAATGTCCTCTTGATGCACTAATTAAAAAAAAAACTTCTTAACTCTTGATTGACTGCTCAGTTCTAACCATGTCTCCCTTCTGTCTTATGTTTCTGCAGACACAATGGTGAACCCTGGAGGAAGTGCCCAGCCCCCACCTGTTGGAGCGGGATCTCTGTCGTGGAAGCGCTGCGCGGGCTGTGGGGGAAAGATTGCCGACCGTTTTCTTCTGTATGCCATGGACAGCTATTGGCACAGCCGCTGTCTCAAATGTTCCTGCTGCCAGGCCCAGCTCGGAGAGATCGGCACATCCTGCTACACCAAGAGTGGCATGATCCTATGTAGAAATGACTACATCAGGTTCGATATATTTATTCTTGATTTGAATTTGTGCAAGTCACAACCACAGCCATATTCACATGTTTGAGGAAGGTGTCAGCACTGAGGTCTTTTTGTGTTCATAAAGGGCATTCACTTAAGTTCCTTCAGATTTCTGATGCACTTGTCAAATTAATTTTAAAGGATTTTTTAAACTTTTGAGGATAGTGTAGTTTTGCTGTGCTCCTTTCTCGTGGTCTTTGAAGCCAAACTTCAGATAGTTCATACATCTGGACATTATGACAGCCCAACGACCACATGAAATGACATTAGGCATGTAATGATTAGATGAAGTGATGGTTGTCAAGAAAAAAAAATATTAAGGAAAAAGTTACAAGCCATCAAGCTTCTCACAGAGTGGAGCGTATTTTCCATTGAGAACATGTGTCTCAGATTGTGCCGTCAGCGGCCCTCGTTAAAGCGCGCTGGTTAAACCCTCAACGGGACACTCTTAAAAAAGAGGTCAAGCCACTGACATGTTGACAGAGCAGAAGACGAAGGAGATTCTTTCTCCAGAACATCTGCAAGTCTGTGGCTCTCGCCATATTTCATCCTTAAGCAAAAGGAGCCGCGCTGCTAGGACCGTGTGTGTGTGAGTGTGTTTTCTTTACGAGATGCTAGAAAACTCGATTTGGTAATTCAGAGCTGACCTTCGACTCGGCAGGAATTTAAGAGAGTTTTCACATCCTCTCCAGCATGTTTTGTTTATAACAAAGAGACCATTTAATTAGCAAAAATACCCTTTTAAAATATTTATGCAAGTAAGTCTGACACCCAAAGCGGTGGCGGGGTGACGGCACGGCTGTCTCACTCCGCTGATGTGGATGGCCTGATTTGACAGGCTGATCCTTCAATGCCTTGACCTCCGCAAGGGCAAACAGAAAGCCCTACGAAGCCTCCAGAACTTCTTGCATTGAGAAGTTTGAGGTCTTCTTGGATTATTTCTTTGGCTTTGAGGGAATGGAAAAACACTGTTTGAGTGACTTTGATAATGGAACACCTATATTTTTCTTATTAAAACAGGCAGACCAATTTAAAAGTTAATTCATAAAATGGAGTATCCATGATATATTCTGCTCTTCCTGCTGGAAAAGAGTGTTTTTTGGCAGAAGTGCAGTCATCAGTAAGTATTTACCTTAGCATGTGCTTCGCCCTGGATAATTCAGCGAAGCCTCGCACTGACACTGCTGCTGGCAGGCTTTAACAACAGGTGTCAACCAGAGCAAACCTGAGACGACCAGTCCAAATGTGAAGAGTGCCTTCACTCTTTCCACTCCACCTGATCTGAAGGGATCAAGTCCACAAGACTCGCCACTAGAATTGGGCCTGTGAGCCTAATTAAAATGAGCAGGGAGGGAAAAGTAGCTACACCTTTCTCCTTGAAATGAGAGCGCATCGGGCGGGAGAACGGAGCTAAAACACAACTCGTGCGAGCCTGTGATCTGAGGAGAGATAAGAGAGAGGGGAAAAATAACATCTGACAGTGAGTCCACACAATTAAAAGCTTTAATTAGAGTCCCCCTCCATTTTCCTTTAGTCCTGATGGGTTTTATCTAATGAGATCTAGTGCCTGGCTCCTATCCGCTTCCAATGACGTGTCCGAAATGAATGAGAGCCACATTGCAAACAAAACATTTAATTAACCAAATTGGCTTTTGAGAGAGAGAGAGAGAGAGAGAGAAGAGGGGATTATTGCGAAGGCCAGTCCCCTTAGGGGATTTTAAAGGGGCCTCCCTTATTTTTGTAATGGATTATTAAATTGCCCTTGCTGTGTAAATAATGAAGTTACATATCCAGAATAATATTAATACCACTGATGCAAAAAGGCTTAGCGATTGATTGGGATGGAGCGAGCGAAAACGCATCCCATTTTCCCTAATGGCAGATGGGGGGAAATGACATGAGTTGATAGGCTTCTGATACCACTCAGCTCGAGGCCACCAGCGCCAAGCACAAGGGCAACCGCCATGAGTTGTAGATTTCAGCAGTTTTAGCCTCAGAGAAGCAGGAGGGACTCGAAATTCGAAATCATGTTGTCCCTAAGCCATTGCTGATATTTGTGTGAGCTGGAGAGAACGGAGACAGAGAGAGGTGAGCGAATTAATTTGGGGAGTGAGCAATCATGTGACCATTAGGTCGGGGGGGAAAAACACTGTCCTTTTAATTGAATAGAGCCAGGTAATTAAATGGCACTTTTCCAATAGAACGTGCTAGGTAAATCTAATAGTTGGTTATTTAATATCACTTTGAAGTCTGCCCACTCAAGCACTATGACAGCACGGGAGCATGTGAACTATTAAGCCAGGAAATACTTGGATCTCAGAAATTAATTAAATCGCATGCAATTTAGGGGAAACGTTTATCTTGATTTGTCATAACAGAATTAATTCAAGGCCTTCAATCCACTTGGGACTAGATCTGTTGCTCTGAATTAACCAAGTGTCATTTGGCTGCTTTCAGCCCCCTCGCCCGCCCGCCGCTCTCTTTGCCGTGAAATCTCCCC